AAATAAGAAGAAAGTAATTTAGGGTTTTCTTGTAAATTCTATAACTTTGCAAAGAAAGGTTGTGTAGAGCTGGAAGATGTCTCATTTTAATCAGAAATGTACGAACTACAATTATGCCTCATTAAGAAAGGTTTTGGTTATCTTTTAGAGTTTCTGAAAAACTGGTTTTCCAGAAAAGCGCTCTCTGGAGACCTAGACGTCCAAACCACTATGGTATTCGGATTCAGCACACTCGATGACTTATTGTTCTCTAGGTAAAAGCGATCGGACAGTTGGAATGGTTTCCTCGTGAGCCCTATATCGTTATCCAATATTTGTTTTTATTTGTTTAGCTACGACACTTAGTAACGGGACATTTAATACAACCTGTACATCAAATACAAATTGTAATGAAGCATTACTGTTACAATGTATTAACGGTTTATGTGAGTGTCCAGGTGTTACGGCTACAAACGATACATGGTTCTGGAATGGAACATACTGTGGTCAGTTCTGTTTTAACATAAAAATAATCCAATCAAGAGATAACAGTTATCTCTATCTTCAGTGGTGTGTCCAGCTTTATGGTTAAATTATGAACTTTATTGTTATTATTTATCACAAACATCAGCTACATGGTCTAATGGGCGAACTTGGTGTCTCAGTAATGGAGCTGATTTGTTAGTTATCAAAACAAAAGATGAATGGAATTTTATACAACCATATGCAGCTTCAATTATTGGTTCATATGGTCATGCAAATATTGGTTATTTCACAAATGTAACAACTGGATGTAAGATTTTCTTTTCTCGTTTTCTCCATCTAGTTCATGACCTTCTATTGAAAGGCGGAGTATTCAGTTGGGTTGATTCGACAATGTTAACATTTACATGTACGAACAATAATGACATAGATAATGATGGACCATAGTGGTAGGTACTTTGAAAAGTATCATTTTCTTGCTTTCTGTGTGTCGTTCTTTTTCTATAACTTTTAAGGTGTGTCAATCAACCAAATTTTTTATTTTCTGCAACTGGTATACCAAATACTCAATCATGTGGTAGTTTAGATCTGACAGGTACTGATGTTTGTATGAATGATCGCTGGTGTTGGGAATCATTGCCATTTATTTG